GGAGAGAGAGAGAGAGAGAGAGAGAGAGAGAGAGAGAGAGAGATAGAGATATGGGGAGACAGACAGACGTACCGACAGAAAAAACCGAGAGACACATAGACAGTTTTTTGATTGATTGTTTGAGTAGGTGTTTACGGCACTATCGACTCAATTTTGGTCACGCACATAGACGGGGACAGCTGGACAATGAAAGGCATGGCGAACGTAAGATACGGAGACATTATCAATTTGGTGACTTAAGTGTAACATTGCTCCTATGTTAATGAAATAGTGAGATGAAGCCATTTAATTTGACAACATACCCCCGCCTTGGCTTACGTTATGAATTCTGCTGTATAAGTCAATTTGAGAATCCCATTCTTAAAAATTAATAAAAAGCCTCACAGGGAGAGGAAACTCTGACTTACTTTGTTTGATAAGATTTTTGCGGCATTCGCAACGCAATTACCTCTCATAAGTGTCGAAGAAACATTAGAAAAGGGGGAGAGATAAGGAGGACAGATGTTTAATAAGGAAAAAAAAAGCAAGCCACACCAGAGCACCCGCCAACCACCTGCAGAAACCCGGGATGGGCGTAGTATGTCGAGTACGTTTTTAAAAGACCTTTATGTTCACTTTTAGCGAATTTCCAAAGAATGCAAAGCAGGTTATCCACTATAAAACTCTTTTAAGGAAGGACTTCACTTATAGAAAACGTAAGTTATACGACACCTCTACAATGTCAGTAATAAGAAATAAAATGTCGGGGGTCTTTTTATCATTCATATAATGAGACCAGGTATTTAAGATGTATCATATTCTAAAGGGTCACTCTGCAGATGACAGACTTCACTTCATTGTTACGTCGAAGAGCGAAGAATTTGCCCCCCCCCCCTCCCTCAGGAAAGCCATTTCTTCGCCCCTAGCCAGGTGAGAAGAAAAAGCGTGCGAATTGTGATCAATTTTATAACGATGATAGTATAAGAAATCGATGAACGATTATTTGTGCGTCGTACGATAAAAATGTCGAGAATAGAAAGGCAACTTCGACAAAGAGGAGTAAGGTGGAGAGATTGCAGATCAATACAGGAATTCGTGGCTTTTTAAAGAACGAGTGGAGTGGAATAATGTGGAGGACGGGGTGGGAAGGGGGGGGAGTTGTGTTGATTAAACATAGCGCTCATGGCTCTGTCGGGTATTGCATTGGTCTATTGAGTGGCTGACCTTGGTTCTTTCCGACGACTGGGTATTATGTTAAGTGGCTTACAACAACAGCAACAACAACAACAGCAACAATAACAATAATAGTATTACGAATAATAATACAAATAATAATACAAATAATAATACAAATAATAATAATAATAATAATAATAATAATAATAATAATAATAATAATAATAATGATAATGATAATGATAATGATAATGACATTTTCATTCCTAATAAGGCCTAGAGCACATTATATTCATACATATATCACTTTTTTAAAATTACTGGCTAAGTATGTAAATAGATATATTATTTTTTAAATCTACGAGAGAAAGTTAATCATGGAGTGAGCCTAGCCTGGAAGCAATAATGCGTACACAAAAAATAGAATTGTGTGTGTGTGTGTGTTGGGGGGGGGGGTATACAGGGAGGACAAACCCACACCATGAACCACTTAATGATCATGAGTAAATATTGGCAGAGCATGATGGTTGTAAATGCTTCGATCCCAAATCTTAATAATTTAGATTATTTCAGGCCAAGTCGAGGCTGAATAGAACTCAACATTGCAGCACAAGCCTAGAGATACTCGAGAAAAACAAGACTTCCCCACGCCAAAATTGAACTCACGTCTTTTGCAAGAAAAGGGCAGAGACGTTCACAATTACTGCGCAGATACCAATAGTGTATACTGAAGTGTATCTAGGAAGCTTTTTGTTTTAGTGTTTTACGGCACTTGCAATACAATAAGGTCATATAAGTGCCAAGATTAGAGGTGTTACAAGAGAGTAACAGACACGAAAAAGAAGGAGGGGAGATAACGACGATAGACGTTTGATAGGAAAAAAGGAGCAAACCACACCAGACCACCCGCCAACCAGCCACGTTTCGAAGAAGAGACGAAATGTTTTGTAGTAGTCTTTTGTGACTATATAGTTCTTGTGGCACGTCTAGAGAATTTTCTTTTCTTTGAGTGTTTTTACGCCCTCTCAGACACAAATTAATAAATAATTCAAGAGGCAGGCTTCTACCCAACAATGAAGGTAACACAGAAGAAGGGCTGCTTCGGCCTCGTCTACCAGAGCTAACCAGGACGAAATATCTAATCAAAAAGATCGAAATACTCGATATAAAAATGTATCCCCCTTCCCCCTTTTTTTGCGTTAAGAATTGAACTCAGATTTCCTGCGTGCGACGGCAAAGCGCTTTACAGATACACAATAGACGTCGATCTGTGGAATAATATACCAACGTTTAATAATATAAAAATCCTCCCTTTTATTCATGAGCCAAGTCCATTCCAATAATTCACAAGGCGTTACTCCCCTCGCCGTCCAGAACATTTTTGAGTGTCGACACGGGGAAGATTGCAGTCGAGTTGTTTATACTTGTCCCCCGTAACAGCTTCTACTGAGGATGTACATGTGTATAAAAACCATGGTTCTGATAAGCCAAGGAATGCGTTCATACGAAACGCCCACGTCAAGCCAGAGCTCTGCATTCACAAAGTCCAGAATATTAATGTAGACGAATACCGTGGACGATACAGCGAGACTCACAGAGTTATGAGAACGGACAAAAGGCACGAGAGTAGCTAAGCGAGTGGTTGAAATGATTAATTAGTTAGTTTTTAGTTTAAGTAGAGGTTTCACGGCGCTCGTAACTGCATAAGGTCCTATGAGCGCCAGAAGATTAGACGCGTTACAAGAGAGTAACAAACATAAAAAAGAAGAAGGGGAGAAAAGGACGATAGATGTTTCATAGGAAAGAAGAAGCAAACCACACCAGAGCACCCGTCAACCACCCACAGTAAGAGTAGCTAAGCGAGTGATTGAAATGATTAATTAGAGTTAGACAAAGACTCATATCTCGATAAAAAGCTGTTTTGAGTCTGTTTCATCAAAGAGAAGCACATCGACACAATCATGGTGATTTAGTGACGGGAAAAAGAAAGACGGAGAGACAGAAACAGCAGAGGAAAAGTAAAGAAGTAAGACCGACCAGTAGCGTCCTCCGACCACCCTCTGACAATGACAGGCTTCAACAAGAAACATGGAATTACAGTAAAGGCTGTTCATTTTTTTTCGTGATCTCTTTACGCCGCGCGGCTTTGTCTCCGTGAAGTTGACAGGATTAAGATTGCTAGACCGTGCCTGTCATAACCAAACCAAGCAGTGAGGGGTGCATCTCAACAGAAGACAAACATACCCGGTACTCATGGAGAATCGAGCCCGTAACTTTCGCATTCACGGCAAAGCGGTTACCCATTAGCCCAGAAATACGTCAAGTAGGCCTACATGTACACATCTCACCAAAACAAAGATCGAGAACTATTTGCACCATCAGTCAGTTCCCCTTTTCGGTGGTGAGATTTCAACGTTCTGCATCTTACAAGCTACTGAGAGTTGGGGACCACCTGCACAACCAAACCGGTCTACATGTTTTTATTTGAACAAGAAGATTGCAGAGGTAAGCAGAACACGACCGAACGTTTTGACGTACGCTTCTTGTCGAAAAAGCCGTAGCCAAACAACAAGTGCCAAGCCAGACGTTCCTCTTGACTCCACGATGGGA